TTTTTTTTAAAAAAAATTTTTTTTGGGTTTTTTTTTAAATTTAATTTTAAAAACAGTCCTATCTGAGTAGTTCGCTGCTTATAATTATGATTTTGTTCTTCAATTTTTTAAAAATTTTTTATGATTTATTGTGCATTAACAATTTACTTTAATCACACAGAGAAGTGGATTGATATTGTATTTCTAGAAGCCTATTAGCCAGTATAACTATACAGATGCATCATGACGTAGCCTCTTGCTAGCTAATATTACTATATTCTTGCTTACCATTACAACTCTGCAGCTGTTCTAGCTGGTGTTACCACGTGGATTTTTTCACTAATTTTCCTAATTCAGCATGTGTAAATATGAATAATGTAATAATTGTATATTAAAATGTGATGCTGATTTGACCCTTCAAGATGACTCACGAAATCGTAATGACGCGACGGTCTGGAGTTTTGAGACTCTCTGACCGCGGGTTCAATCCCGGCCGGGGTATGGTTTGACCTTTCAAGAAATTTTGTGTGAAGGAGGGTGTGCGGCGGCCGCGGAGTGATACAGTGGGAGAGGACGCCATAGTGTTAGTAACATGTGAGCGCTGGTCTGTTAGTGGTGCAGAATAATCCAGTGTCATCGAGGCCATAATGGGGTGTTTTGACCCGAAATTGTAATAGGAACTCCCCTGGTTACAGACCGAGCAATGGAGGCATTGACCCCCAAAACCCTCTCCAGGTATACTTTCGAGGTTGGTAGATAAGACACATAGGCAACTTTATTCGGAATAAAGTTGCCTAAATGTTGCCTGTGTGTCTTATCTACCAACCTGTCGGTATTGTATACCATTTGATAATCATACTTTCGAGGTAAACTCTCCAAGTAAATGTCCCCTGCTGAAGAATAGGGACAAGAAATTTACTAAACCTCCATATTAAGGTAGTGATAGTTGAAATAATGAGAAGTCTCCATGGAGCACATCCATCATGCATCCAGTTTGTGTGCCATTACTCCTTTCATTTAGATTTCTTACTGGCCAGTAATTTTCTATATGTTAGGTAGGTGTTGTGGTGTGATGCAATTACAATATAGATGGTAATATAAATTTCTTAATTATCTAACTTTCGGTGTCAGAAAATTCTTACCCTGTGTGTATTAGTGTTCCCAATAATCCTTTCTGGAGATCATTTCCTTTAATTTTCATACAGTCCACACTATTTTATAATTTACCATTACTGGTATTAATGTTTAATATTGCAATTATTAACTTAATATCAGGTCAAGCTTTTTTGTGAGAGTAGTGAAGGAGTGGGCATCGAAGGAGTGACAGTTCTGTGACTAAGTTCAACTTACCTCACCCAAATTACTTGCTCGTAATAATTCATGTAATACCCTGTAAATCTCATGCAGGTAATTTTCACACTATATATTTCTCAGCAAATACCAAACCTACTGCTAGCCGCAACATACCACCGTATATATATTCCTACCTAGCATGAAGATAATTAAAATATGCTATTATAACATTCTGTTATTACTCCTAATTTAAATCTGCCCGATATGCTTTTCATAATTATGGACTTTCAATGTACATATTTAACACTTGACCAATATTTAGCAAAAAATGTATCTTCTTGGAAAGCAAACATTATTATTATTCTTGTTATAGTTATTATGTTGTCTCCTCTCACCCTACAGTCAACGGACTTACACCCGATCAAGCTAAGTCCAGACGTGTCGAGCATCCCACAAAAGTTTGACGCCCGTACTGAGCCCAGATGGCAGGGTCGTATAGGTGGTGTGGCTGACCAGGGCTGGTGTGGTGCCTCATGGGCATTCTCCACCATGGGAGTCATCCAGGACAG